GTTACCCCTCTCCATTCTGAGAATTTACCATTAATTCCTACCCTTTGTTCCTTGTCTTTTAACCAGTTCTCAATCCATGAAAGGATCTCCCCTCTTATCCCATGACAACTTAATTTCCGTAAGAGCCTTTGGTGAGGGTCCAAAGGAGATGAGGAGCAAGGGGGGCCGGGAGAGAGAGAGGTTGGATATACAGAGGAGACTGATGCAAATTAATTGTCTCCTCTTTGGGGCAAATGGGCAAAGAAACTAAAAGTGGGTAGTCAAGGCTGGCAAACAGCCTGGCGCTAGCTCCGGTCAGCTAGACCCTAGGACACCAGCCTGGACTTCGGGGCCCTGGCGGCGCTGTAACAAGTAAACAATTACCCCCAATAGAGTTTTCACCCCCCAAAATAAAGGAGAGCAGCGGCTCCACGGAGCCCCGGGGACTGGGCTGTGACTGAGTTTAGGTGGAAGGCGCTCAGGTGTGGTGGGGACAGGCGGCCGTATAACCCTGAGCAGACAGGTGCTGAGCCCTGGAGCTGCGGGCGGGTCCCCGGGTCAATGGGCTCTGCAGTCCGGATTCCCTGGTCTACCTCTGACCCGCCCCGCCCCCCAGAACGGTCAGAGCCCCGTAAATAACCGCTCCTGTCCTCGCCCCCCGAGTTGCCTGGTCCCTTATCTCCCCTAAACCCGCCTCCTCCCCGGCCCCCCGGGCGCCTGATCGCCTCGGCTTCCCACGGCACCGACGGGAGCACGTCGATGGGGTTCACTGGACCAGAACGTCACCACCCGGCCGGCTCAGCCCTGGGGCACAGCCCCGTGCGAGAGAGGCAGCCCAGGGCCCCCACGCATGGACACGGCCAGTCCGCTCCCAAGAGCGACTTTGCTCCTCCGGCTCCCAGGCTCGCTCAGCCCTTCTGTCCCCACGGGGCCGCTTGCTGGGCCCGGGGCGGAGCAAAGCGTGTCCCGATCTGGTTCTCAGTCGTGTGGCTGGACGGGCCGGCCCGCGGTCACCCCCACGCGAGACGCAGCCAGAGCCGCCTGCGGCTGTTCAACCGAGTTACCCGAGGGGGCAGCCCCCAGACTGACACCCCCCCCCATAGGGCCGGTTCCAAGGAGCTACCTGCTGGGATTTGGCTGTTTCAAAGGGAGGATGGAGCCAACCCACCAGGCAGCCTCCGGGGGATGCTCAGCAGCGGGGGAGCCGAGAGAAAACAGGTCACTGGCAAAGAAATGAAGCATCGCCTCTCGCCTGCCCCACCTCCGCCTGGCGCGCGGCGTAGGCACCCCAAACAACGCGGCACCCCCTCTCCGGCTCTCGCCGTCACAGTCCTAGGCAGCCACAAGCGACTTGTGAGCTAATGGCACAAAACAACAACAAAAGGAGCCGCCGTCGTATCGGTCAATGCACCCGAAGGGGCGTCCGGTGAGTTTGTTTAGACTCCAGACCGAGAGCAAACACCCCCCGCCCCGCGTGGGAAACAGGTGTTCCGCAGCCCGTATTTCATTCAATAAACACACGCCAGAGAGCTCATTTATCACGTTGGTAACAACCCTAAATGGAACTGCCGGCGTTTTTCTTCGTCAAATTGCAGCACTAGACCGTTTTATTTCCACTTTCACTCCCCCCCAATCTGAGACTGTCAAATTGCAGCCATATGGGAACCTAGGTAATAGGAAGCAGCTACCTTATTTACTGAAGAGGAGACGCACACGAATCCTCCCAGGACCTCTCCTCGCTCGGGGGGTTTCACGGGGGCTCGTTGCTCGACGAGCGGTTGAAGCATGCAGTCGGCCAGGTGTTTGGCGGGTCTGATCTCCACTCCAGCATCCCCGGTATGGGTTGAAGGGGAGGGACAACCCCACCGAAGAGAGACACCAAAGCGCCCCAGATGTGCCAGGCTGGAGGCAGGGGAGTGGGAAGCCCGAAGCCAGTCCCGTCTGAACGTAGCGTGTCTCTGCTCCCCACAGTGCCCATGGCGGGGCACCCCTACTTCAGTGAGAGGCCACAGCGGCTGCTGCTGGGCGCTCTGGTCCGCAGCCCCCTCGCAGGGGGTCAGCGAGTGACAGCGCCCAGGCCAGTCTGTGCTGAGCCGAGGCCAGAGGTTGGGAGACATTAAAATTCGGCCTCTGAGGAGGTTTGAGCGGTTTGTTGTTTTATTTATTTCCCCCCTCCAGGCTCCAGCTGGAATAAACCCCCGTTTGTTCATGAGAGATCGGACGCGTTTGCACCTCCATGCTTCCCAAGAACCAGCCTCTAGCTGAATTTCTCTCTACCCCGAAATGTGTCGTAGGCACATGGAGGTGGGGAGATAAAAGAAGCTCACAACTTCAGATCTAAATAAAATCGGAGCGAATCTGTTTCTTCTGCTGTGATTTAATTGTGCTTTAACAGACGCATGGAAGTGACTTGAGAAAGAAAATCTTTCTGATAGGAATCTCCCCAGCTCAGCAGCGTCTAAATTTCTGGCTTTTTTTTAAAGCACCTAAAGCAAACATACTTATGGGAGTAAGTGGCAGTAAAATCACTGAGGGATGAAATACAGAGAAATACTATCTTAAAACAAATAACAAAACTCTCAAACAGCCATTAGTGATTTAACGGGCTGGGGGGAGGAGAAAGAGAGAATTCTGCGGCAGATTTCGGTAACCGAGAACGCTACAGCAATCACCCAGTGATAAACGCTTGATTGCAGAGAGCAATAATTACCTTGTCGCTCTGTTTACAGATAACCCTGCCATAGCGGTACATACAAAAAGTCATTTGACGCTCCAGGACTCAGTGAAACCCTCACCTCTGCTTAGACACCCCATCCCCCACCCCAAATCCCTTTCGCCCGCCTGCTTGAGCAAACTCCATAGGTTCTTGGAGTAAGGAAACCAGAAACGCATATTATAGGCTGTTGAAGTCTACTTTATTTTCACTACCCAAACTGTTGGAAAGTATTTAAACTTAAGCAGAAACAGCTGTACTCCTGGCACCACTCTACCAAACTATTTGTTACTGTGAATGACTTTTTATGAGTCTGAACTTTGCTGGTTTGCTGGCTTCCAAACTGACGGCTTTCTTGGCAGATAGTGTCTAATGAGGTGATTTTTACGTAATCTTCGAGTACTTCGTTAATCAGATACAATTTCTCTTTGTTATATTAACCCACAATAGAGTTTTCTCTCTCTTTCCCCAACCCTCTGTCTCTGCACCTAACACATCCATGTTTCATGCATTCTTTGATAGTCCAGGACCTAAGGAGCAGAGAGATCAATACAGATCAGTAATAGGTAACAGGGTCATTTCCCACTATTATTTTTTACAATCGGCTAATTTTGCACGTGTTATTTTCCACCTTATTTCAGAGACAGTCCTATATGAATTGGATGTGGAAATGAAACTGGCTCGTGCAGACAACACGCTGAAGTCCAGGTTCGCAGAGTTTTGCTAAATCTGTTGTAAGAAAACGCCAAGGCTGAGTTTTGTTTGTCTGCTTTGAATAAGTCTCTGGGCGAGAACACGTTAAATTCCAAGTCCTCTTCTGGAGTTTGTGCCCTGTTGTAGTTCCAAATCAAATGAAACCATCGCCCTACGGAGCATTACAGAGGCTCTGTCCAACCTAGCCCTGCTCAGCAGTAGGTTCGTTTGCACCTCGCTACCAGGGCAGCCTGGACGAGCGGCTACACTTTGACCGGTGCATCAGGAGGGCTGGGACCCGGTGCGCCAACCAGTGGGGTTAGAACAGCCCCTGCAACGCCGCGAGTCCAAAGCCACCAGCAAAAAGACCTGAGACGAGGCTCTGCTGCTGATTCAACTCTTCCAGCCCTTTGTGCTTTGAAATTTCCTTTCTCTGCACAAACGTTGCAGAAGCTTTTCAGGAAACGCAGCCGCTGCGAGCACAGCCAGCGTGCTGGGGGGCTGTCACAGAGCCTGCCCCCGCCGGGAAAACGGGCCGCGTGGATTGAAAAGCACGCGTGGGCCTGCACAAGCGCGGAGCGCAAATCTACCCACTGGAAACGAAAATAAATCACCGGAATAATGCGCAGTCTGGCCCCGGCTTTGACAGACCCACCGACTCCCCAAGAGCACGGTCCCCACTTCATTCGCAGCGGGCAGCCCCGGCTGTGCTGGGGGGGGACTTGGAGTCTTCCCCGAGTCCCCAGGCAGCCCTGGGGGTCGTGGCATCCCTTGGGCGGGGGGGGGGACTCCGGCCGGGGTGCCCGTGCGCTGCTGCGGCCGGGGCGGGGGGTGTCAGGGACTGGAGATGTCACAGAAGTTGGTTTGAATTTGTTTTTTTCTTGCCTGTTCGCTCGAGCGGGGCTGGGGAGGGGTCGGCGGTGGCTGCCTGGCCCGGGGGGGCTGGCGGGGGACAGTGACTTAGAAAGATGGGGCTGGATGGAGACGCTGTGCGTGGGGGGGGGACAGGCATGCGCCCCCCTCGCCCCCCCCAGCCAGACAGCGGGGGCCCGCTCTGCCCCCCCCC